GTTTTTTTTGAGACAGGGTCTCCCTGTAGCCCCAGCTATCCTGGAACTCAGTATGTAGACCAGGCTGGCCTTCAACTCACAGAGATCCGCCTGCCTGTGCCTCCTGAGTGCTGGAATTAAAGGCATGCACCACCACACTCGGCCTCAGTAGTCTTTTGAACATTAGTTCATTTCCCTCTGGTTTTTCACACCACCTAAATGGGTTCCTTCTTTCCCTTTACCCCTCTGGTTTCTTTCCATTTTCCTGGGTCCTGTGGTTACATCAAGATATATACTCACATATAAGGATTTGGAGCTAAGATTAACTAATAGAGAGAACATACATTGCTTGTTTTTCTGAGTCTGTGTCACTTCACTTAGAATTTTTTTTTTTCTTTTTTTGTCTTTTTGCCCCATCTGGCCTGGAACTTGCTATGCAGTCTAGACTGGCTTTATCTCCCTGGTTCTTAAAGAAGCTTTGAGTTTGTTTTCTTTTTCTCTTTTGCTTAGAATGTTCCTCTGTTTTTACTTAACTCTGATTTCTTCATCAGGCCCAACTCTGGTAGCTCTGATACACAAAATTGATGTTCCCTGTCTGTGTATCTTTAAAGTACTTTATATCTCAATATGCAGCCCGATAACATTGTTTCTTTTATGTACCAGGCACTAGTTCAGATCTTGGAATATTACAATGAGCAAAGCAAGCAAAAATCTCTTCCTTCCTGGAGCTAATATTCTAATGGGGGAGACAGAGATAGAAAACATACAAACCTGTACATTTGAAGTAAATAACAAGTACTTTAAAGACAAGTAATACAGACTGGGGATAGAAAGTGATGGGAATAAGGGTTCTTATTTTATTTTATTTTTTAAAAATATATTGTTTTTTTATTTTCTGTATATGAGTGTATTGCCTACATGTGTGTAAGTGTATCCGTGTTGTGCAATGCCTGCGGAGGTCAGAAGTGTCAGGGGTCAGATCCCCTGAAGCTGCAGTTATGGACGGTTGTTGGCCTCTATGTGGGTTCTGGGAATTGAACCTTGGTCTTCTGCAAGAGCAGCCAGTACTCTTAATCGCTGAGCCATTTCTCCAGCCCAGGAGGTGGGGGAGGTGTTCAATTTTAGATAGTCAGAGAATGCCAGCAACTCTGAAGAGGTCACTTTTGAGGCAACAATGGCAAGATGTGATGGATATTTGAAGGAACAGTGTTGCAGGCAGAAGGTACAGTTGTCGCAAAGGCCTGAGATAGGTGCATGCATGGCTTAAGGAATAGCAAGGTGGCTAGTGTGGCTAATTTGGAGTGAACTGATCTATTTTCAAAAGGATCATTCGGGGCGGGGATGTAGCTCAGTTGGTAGAATATTTGCTTAGCATGCAGAAAGCCCTAGGTTTGATCCATACAGAAGAAGCTGGGTGTAGTGGCACAAACCTATAATTCTAACACTCGGAGGTTGGAGGCAGAAGGATCAGAGGTTCAAGGTCATTCTGGAGAGTTTGAAGTCAGCCTGGGATACATAAAACTTTGATCTTGTCTCAAAAAAAAAAAAATCACTCTGGGTGCTGTATAAAGGAATGAGTGGCAGAAGCGGTTCTGCTGAGTGGAGCTCACTGGCCCTCCAGGGGATGGACTTGCTTGCCTTGGCCCCCAGTAGGTGTCCTGACCTGCAGTTTGGTAATAAGGTGGTCTCTTCTCTTCCAGACTTAGCAGCCTAGGTCTCCTGGACTACTACCTGATGGACGCTGCCTCCTTGCTGCCTGTCCTGGCTCTTGGCCTGCAGCCTGGAGACACTGTGCTTGACCTGTGTGCAGCTCCTGGGGGGAAGACACTCGCATTACTTCAGACTGGCTGTTGCCGTAAGTGAATGGACTGGTATCTTGGGCAGGGAGGATTCCCACTTCACCCAGTCAGGGTGCACTGAATGTGATGAGCTTTCGGTCCTGGGGCTGGATAGGGGAATAGTATTTGCTTTCTAACCCTATTGCTCTTATTGTTTTGTTTTGATTATTTCCTCCCTTTTTCTGTCAGTTGGTTGAGAAAGGTTGCTGAGCAAGGCCTCTCTGCAGGCAGATTACATTAGGGCTCTGGTCCCTATGATCATCCGTCACGTGACCCTTTCACCCCTCTACATTTGCTGATTTGTCTCTAAGGAGAGTGTCTCATTTCCTTCTCCTGCCAGCCACTAATTTTAGCTTTAAATGTCACCCTTCCTTGATCTTTATGTGCCTCAGCCACATTCTGCTACTTTTTTCTCGTTTACATTCTCTCTTTAGAATTCCCCCATCCCACCCCAGCTGTGTTATCTAATTCTTTTAGCTGTCAAGCCTCAGCTCAAGTGTACTACCTCCAGGAAGTCTTCCCTCATAGCTGCTGCTGGCTTGTTGAGAAATGATACACCATGAGCATCACCTGTTAATACACTACCGTTATTAGCCTTTCCTTAGTGCTTTACCAGATAGGTATCGTCTGCCTCTTCAAAATGATGAATTTCTTGGGAACAGGCCCAAGCTTTATGCATCTCAGTAGCATAGGTCAGCTCTGGCATTCTATACTAGAAGCATTCATTTTAGCTATCCACTGGCCAACATCCTGCCTTAAAGTAGAAGTGTCTTTTCCTTGACATCCTGAGAAAGAGCTACAAGGAGATGTGATTTTTCATATCCAAACTGGAGCTTACTCAGTCTTCTCTTGCCACATCCTTGGGCCTCTTTGTTAGGCCCACACCTTTTTATTCCTGTTCTTGCCAGCTGCCTTACACAGGTTAGTTAGCCTCCAGCCTCTTGGGAGGCCCATGTATGATCTGCTCTCAGCCTTCTGAATGCTCAGAAGCAAAACAGAAAAGATGCTGATATAGGGTTAATGAGTGAGTATAGTGCAAGAGAGCCCATCCTGTGCTGATCTGAATGCAGTGGGAACCTGCATTCAGCAGGGAGGGGAACACTGTAAGGTTATTTGGAAGAGGAAGAACTTGAGCTAAGAGGAAGGAAAGGGCAAGGGAGAAATAATTGAGAGTTTCTATTTCCAAGGCGTACTGAATTACCAGCACCTCTGCTTTATCCCAGACACCCAAGTGACTGACTTCTTTTTTTTTTTTTTCTGCCTTTTTGAGACAGGGTCTCCTTGTAGCCCCAGCTGGCCTGGAACTTGCTATGTAGACCAGGCTGGACTTGAACTCACAAAGATCTGCCTGCCTCTGCCTCCTAAGTGCTAGAATTAAAAGGTGAGTGCCACCATGCCTGGTGTGACTGACTTCTTGACCCTAGAAACATAGATAGGATCACAGAATTTCAGTGCAAGAAAGGAACTTGAGATTTACCTTGTCCTACCCTCCAGTTTTATGGAGGAGAAACAGATCTGGAGTGATTTTAGAACTTAAATCTTACAAATGTAGGGCATAGAGGCAGAATTGGAAGCCATCTTTCATTTTCTCAGTTCATATCTCCCTGAAAATCCTTTAGAACAGAGTATCTTATTTTTTACTTCTTTGAGTGCCCTAAAAAAATTGGGACATTTCACTGGGCATGGTGGTGCATGCCTTCAATCCCAGCACTTGGGAGGCAGAGGCAGGCAGATTTCTGTGAGGTTGAGGACAGCCTGGTCTACATAACAAGTTCCAGGCCAGCTGGGGCTGCAGGAAGACCCTGCCTCAAAAAGACAGAAAAAAAAAAAAAAAAAAAAAAAAAGGGGACATTTCTTTGTAGGAACGCTAGGTAGGTTCCTAGTAATGACCACTTCTGTTAGGTAAGGTGCATGCTCTCCGGTTCTTCCTTACAGTTCCCACTTCTGGTTGCTCCTTGCCTCTGAGGCTGGGTGTCAATTGTCATTTTTGTTTTTGAGACAGTGTCTCACTTTGTATCTTTGTCTTCAAACTCTTTAGTATGGGCATCATTCTTAGGGTTGCTGTCATGGTCCAAGATGGCTGCTGGAACTTCAGCGAACACATTTGAATTTGAGGCAGAAGGAAATAATTGTGTCAGCCTTTTAAACACATCTTTCCAGAAGTCCCACATGACACTTCTGTCTATAATTTATTAACTGAAATTGGGTCACTTATTCCTACTTAGTTACAAAAGAAGGAAAGAAGTATTCTCTTTTGGGGCACATTGCCCTCTCCTGATAAAGTTGGGGTTCTGCTACTAAAGAATGGTTGTATAACCTATAGTATCTAGGAAAGCTGAAGAGAGCCATGTTTCAAAGAGATTTGAGTAGCCAGGCACAGGAACACATGTAGTCCCAGCTACCCAGGAGGCTGAAGCAGAATTGCTTAAGAAGTTTGAGGTGAGTCTAGATAACATAGCAAGACCCTGTGTCAAAAAACCCAAAAATGGCCCTGGAGAGATGGCTCAGTGGTTGAGAGCACTGACTACTCTTAAAGAGGACCCGGGTTCAGTTTTCAGCACCCACATGGCTGCCAACAACTATCTGTAACTCCAGTTCCAGGGCATCTAGATGCCCTCTTTGTACAACATGGGTATTGTACAACATGTGCACTTACATACATGCAGGTAATATACTCATAGTTTATGTGTATATAAAATAAAAATAATAGCCGGGTGTGGTGGTACATGCCTTTAATCCCAGCACTTGGGAGGCAGAGGCAGGTGGATCTCTGTGAGTTCAAGGCCAGCCTGGTCTACCTAGTGAGTTCCAGGACAGCTGGGGCTACAGGGAAACCCTGTCTCAAAAAGACAAAAAATAAATAAATAAACAAACAAACAAACAAATAAATAAATAATTTAAAACAAACAAAAAACCCCCAAAAGCCTGGCATGGTGGAATATGCCTGTAATCCTAGCCCTCAGGAAATGGAGGTAGGAGGATCAGAAGTTCAAGGCCAGTCTAGGTTACATAATAGGATCCTGTCATAAAATAAAGGGGTGGGTAGTAGGAGAGACTATACTTCCTTAAAAATAAATATTTACCAGGTGTGTTGGCACATGCCTTTAGTCCCAGCACTTGGGAGGCAGGCAGATCTCTGTGAGTTCAAGACCAGCCTGGTCTACATAGTGAGTTCCAGGCCAGCTGGGGCTACAAGGAGACCCTGTCTCAAAAAGACCCCAAATTTTTGATCTGCTTTATCTATTTACTTTTCATCTCTGGCTCATGTAGACATTTGCCTTTGCAACCTCTGCTCTAGAGTGACTGATTTGGTACCATGTATATAATAAATGTCCCTGTCTTTGGGGTCTGTGTTGATTGGTCATGTCTGAGAACTGGCTCATTTTCTGATGTGGTAGGGTGTTCTGTTGAGTTATAGCCTCTGAAGACTCTTTCTTTCCACAGGCAATCTAGCTGCCAACGATCTCTCCACTTCCCGAACAGGCAGACTACAAAAGGTCCTTCACAGCTATGTGCCTCAAGCTATCAGGGAAGGGAATCAAGTTCGAGTCACCTCATGGGATGGCAGGAAGTGGGGAGAACTAGAAGGGGACACCTATGACCGGGTAAGTGATTCCTGGTTTAGGACAGCTGCTGAGCTAAATCTGACTTCCCCATCCTGGTGTCAGACTCCAAGGGGGTAGAAATCTAGCCCCTGTGTTTAAGTGTGTATGGCTGTTTATGGACTTGGACTGTTCCCCATGAGTGATGTGGTGAAAAAAGCTATCTGTAGAATTCTCAGTTCAGCGTAGATGGCGTGCTACTATTTTCATTAGAGACAGTTGGCAGCAAAAAGAATTTGAACCTAACCAAGTGTGGAAAATAGTTATTAGGCATATTTTATTACTGAAGTTACTTGGTTGCTAGGAAGCTCTCATGAAGATTAGTATGAATGAGAATATTTTATTTCTGAATATTAATATAGCACATGGTATAAAATTCAGGAAGTACAAAAGAACGTCTGATGAAAAATAAGCTTTCTTTTTACTATTAGACACAGCCATTTACTTTCTCTTCCTAAAAAATAACCATTGTTTTTATTTTTTCTATAGCCTTTACATATTCATATATACAAATATAAATTTATGGTTTGTTTTTTGAGACAGGATCTCACTGTGTAAGCCCCACCTGGCCTGGAACTACTATGTAGACCAGGCTGGCCTTAAACTCATAGCTCCTCCAATTCTGCCTCATGAGTGTTGGGATTAATGTGCCACCACACCTGTCTTATGTAGGTTTTTAAAGAATAGAAATAGTAATATGTTGTATTATTCTGGCCTCTATATTTTTTCATTTATTTTGCATCCTCAAATTCAGTTCTTTTTAGTTTTATGCTTTTGATGTATAATGCTAGTTAATAGTTTATATCCAGTTAAGAATTTTTTTTTTTTGTTTTTTTGAGACAGGGTCTCCCTATAGCCCCGGCTGACCTGGAACTTGCTATGTAGACCAGGTTGGCCTCACAGAGGCTGAACTCACAGAAATCTACCTGCCTCTGCCTCCCAAGTGCTGGGATTAAAGGCCTGTGCCACCACACTTGGCCTCCAGTTAAGATTTTATAGAGATTAAACCAGTTTTACTTATACTGACACTAAGTACAGTTTATCTATAGCCTGCCTGTATTGTTGCTATCAGACTATTTTTGCCAAACTTATAGTATCTCTTTTACATTCTCCTAATATGAATAATTCTTTTTTTTTTTTTTTTTTTGGTGTTTTGAGACAGGGCCTCCCTTGTAGCTCTGGCTGGCCTGGAACTCACTATGTAGACCAGGCTGGCCTTGAACTCACAGAGATCTGCCTGCCTCTGCCTCCCCAGTGCTGGGATTACAGGCATGTACCACCATGCCCGGCCTGAATGTTGTAATTCTTAATTAATTTTGTCTTTTGAGACAGTGTCTCCCAGTAGCCCCCAGCTAGTCTGGAACTCCCTGTGTAGACCAAGCTGGCCTTGATTTCACAAAGATCAGCCTGCCTTTGCCTCTGGAGTGCTTGGGACTAAAGGCATGTGCCACCATACCTGGCTTATTTATTTATTTTTAAATTCTATGTCTATGTATGTGTATATATGTGAGTGTGTCACATGTATGCAGGTATCTGTGAGGGTCAGAAAAAGGGTGTCAGATCCTTTGGAGGTAGAGTTATAGGCAGTTGTAAGCTGCTTGACATGGGTACTGGGAATCTAACTCAGGTCCTCTGGAAGAGCAGCAAGTATTCTTAACTGTTCAGTTATCTCTCAGCCCTTCTTGATATATATACATTTTTTTTTGGTCTTTTTTGAGACAGGGTCTTCTTGTAGCCCCAGCTGTCCTGGAACTCACTATGTAGACCAGGCTGGCCTCAAACTCACAAAGATCCACCTGCCTCTGTCTCCCAAGGTAGGATTAAAGGTGTGCACCACCACGCCCAGCCCTTCTCGAAAATTTTAAGTTACTTAATTGTCTTTCAATTGGCATATTTAGCCAGGCTTAGTGGCACACACCTTTAATCCCAGCACTCAGGAGGCAGAGGCAGGCCAATCTCTGTGAGTTTGAGGCCAGCCTGGAATCCAGGCCAGCTGTGGCCAAAAAGACCAAAAAGATGCTTTATGATCACAACACTTATACATTCATGAAACTGACAACAAAAATTAAAAAGAATAAAATAGAAATGTCTCTTTTGCCCCAGATGAAGAGGTCACTAATGGACCAAAGAAAATATTCTGTCCAAGTCCAGCTTGGTAATTGATGAGAACTTAGAAAATTTTTTTTAAAAAAAGCATGTTTAAAATACAAAAAAATAACTACTATTACTGTGTTGTCATCTGACTAATTTGTCTAGTTCTTACCATGCTGCCTCAACCACAGTAAGACATTGAAAGAAAGACCAAGTCTTACAAGATCTTGGGTAGGCCTGAGAGACTTGCTTCCTGTCTACCTACAAATCCCTTTCTCAAATTTCTTGCCAAAATGTCAGGACAGAGTGGTGAGAGCTCTGCTGTCAGCCTAACCAGTTTCTGTATTACAAGGTTACTCTACTTATTGACTGAACTTCCACTTCACCTCTTCATTTATGAAAGAAGTAATCCTATCCCATGGGATTATTATGAAAATTCAATGAGAGTATCCAGGAAAAGCAGCTAGTGCAGCCAGTGCCTGTCGGTAAAGATCTCATTATTCAGTCTATTCTTTCACACTTACATTGATGGGGATTCGCCAAGGTTTTCTTGATCACGCTGATGTTGGACAGTTGTTTCCTTTAGTGAATTGAAATCTGTAGATGGCATGGCATATGGGGAGGGTAAGGATTCTGGACTTAGGCTCCTCGAATTGAAGTCCTGGCTTCCTAACTTACCAGCTGGAAATTTTTTGAATTACTTAAACTTTCATTTCTGCTTTAGCTTCTTCAGTTGAGGTTAATTGTAGGGTCTGTCCCTTGGGTGGGGATTAATAAGAATGCATTTGCACAGTTTCTGGAAAATAGAAAACATTCAAATTATTGTCACTGTCACAATCCTTATTGTTTTATTTCTATTCACTGATTTTAGCTGTGCCTCTAGGAACAGAATAGAATGAACTACCTTCTATTTTACTTGGCATTACTTCAGGCATTTGAAACAGCTTTGATGCTTGAAGATGTCTTTATTAGTTCACCTGTTGAAGAAAGGTTGTGTGAAGTTTGCTGTGTGGTAGGGAAGTGTTAAACACTTTAGATGCAAGGACTGCTACCTCAGGGCTCAACAAACTATTGGCACCTCCATTCTTCCTCAGTTGTACTTGCCTGTCATTTGGTGAGAGCCCCATAGTCTGCATGTTCATGGCAAGACAGCCATGATTCCTCTCTAGTCACAGCTTCCTGCCCCTCTTCCTGAACTAAACCTTATTTAAAATAATAAAATTACTTGAACATATTTCTGTCTTCTCATAGAGGAAACTATAAACACATTCATGTTCAAGTACCAACCTGTTATATGGCTAGTAACTGCACTGGGCAGGGCCAGTGTCTGATGTAGAGATGCCTGTGCTATATTTGACGTTGAATAGCTCTGCTCTTTCAAAATATTTCCTACATGTAGTACAATGGTACAGCTTTCTCTCTCTCTCTCTCTCTCTCTCTCTCTCTCTCTCTCTCTCTCGCGCTCTCTCTCTCTCTCGCGCTCTCTCTCTCTCTCGCGCTCTCTCTCTCTCTCGCTCTCTCTCCTTTTGAGACAGAGTCTCCCTGTAGCCCCAGCTGACCTGGAACTCAGTATGTAGACCAGGTTGGCCTTAAACTCATATAGATCTGCCTGCCTCTCCCTCTCAAGTGCTGGGATTAAAGGCATATACCACTATGTCTAGCTCCCTTTTCTCATTTTGACTGGATAAGGCCAACATTTCAACATTTTTTTAAATAGGAAATAAACTTTATCTGAGCCTCTGAAATGACCTGGCCAACAGTCACAGATATGCAGACAATGGGGTTATGTATTGACTATTTATAATTGACAGTAGCATTTTTTTCCTCTGAAAAATATAAGTACAAAAGCTAGGTAAACACTGAAGTGCTGTCATTTGGGATTTATCATAGTTTAAAGAATTAGGCTTTGCCAAATACTCAAAAAATCAATCTGGAGCCAGGCATGGTGGCGCATGCCTTTAATCCCAGCACTCAGGAGGCAGAGGCAGGCGGATCTCTGTGAGTTCAAAGCCATCCTGGTCTACATAGTGAGTTCCAGGACAGCTGGGGCTACAGGGAGACCCTGTCTCAAAATGACCAAAAAAATAATAATAAAATAAAAAGAGGGACAGAAACCGGGTGTGGTGGTGCATGCCTTTAGTTCAGTACCTGAGCGGCAGAGGCAGCAGAAGGTTGTGAATTTGAGGCCAGCCTGGTCTACCTAGTAAGTTCCAGGCCAGCTGGGGCTACAGGGAGACCCTGTCTCAAAATGACCAAAAAAATAATAATAAAATAAAAAGAGGGACAGAAACCGGGTGTGGTGGTGCATGCCTTTAGTTCAGTACCTGAGCGGCAGAGGCAGCAGAAGGTTGTGAATTTGAGGCCAGCCTGGTCTACCTAGTAAGTTCCAGGCCAGCTGGGGCTACAGGGAGACACAATCTCAAAAATTTCAAACACACACACACACACACACACACACACACACACACGAGGGACAGAAAGAATAGAAGAAAGGAACATCAAATAAGGTCAATGTTTTTTTACAGTTGACACTAATAAGCAGTATCAGGAATATATTGGTACCAAAATATTGAGACATATTGCCACTGACTTATAGTCTCCTTGAAATCACATAGCTCTGCTGTTTACAAGCATGTAAAGCTCAGGCCTCCAACATCCATAAGTGCATTTTGCAGTCATTCTCTTAAGAGTCTAGCCACCTTTTGAAGACTGTAGGAATTTCCATAGCTTTCTCCCTTTTTAACATTGTTTGTTTTTTTGAGCCAGGCTGGCCTGGAACTCACTGTGTAGCCTAGACTAGCCTTGAACTTGAGATCCCCCTGCCTCTACCTCCCAAATACTAAATGTAATATTTTACTTTTGTACCATATTGTGGCTATCAGAGACTTGCATTTGTGAAGGAATAATCTCCT